GTATGTTAGTAGATCAAGGCAGAGCATCAACGCCCAAGTGGGCTACTTCAACCATTACCAATTCTGGAGTGGAAGTGGAAACATATCATCATGAATTTAGTGACAGGATTGTTTAAGGCACGCTCAGGACATGATGCCATCTGGGTAATTGTTGACCAGCTTACCAAGTCTTCCCACTTCTTGGCCATCAGGATGACTGATCCCTTGGATAAGTTGGCAAGAATGTACATTCGAAAAATAGGCAGATTACATGAAGTGCCAGTGACAGTAGTGTCCGACAGGGACCCAGGTTCACTTCTCAATTCTGGTTTAGCTTCTAGTAAGCCATGGGAATAAAACTGTCCATTAGTACTGTATTCTACCTTCAGACTGACGGACTGTCAAAAAGGACGATCCGCACTCTTGAGGATATGCTCCGAGCTTGCGTTCATGATTTCGAAGGCTATTGGGATGACCATCTACCCCTGATAGAGTTTGCCTACAACAATAACTACCAAGCAAGTATTAGTATGGCTCCGTACGAGACATTATATGGTCGCCCCATGCAGATCGTTGATCTGTTAAGAAAAAGTGGGTGATAAAAAACTGTCGGCCTAGACCTTGTAGATGAGACTATAGCCAAAGTAGTTAAAATCAGGAAGAACATTCAGACGGCTTAAAGTAGACAGAAGAGTTATGTGGACATCCGGAGGAGGGATTTGAAATTTGAGAAAGACAATCGAGTTTTTCTTAAGGTCACTCATTTCAAAGAAATCAGTAGGTTTGACAAGAGGGGAAAACTAAGCCTCTGATTTATTGGACCATTCGGGATCTTAAACAGAATGGGTACCGCCGTCTATAGACTGACACTGCCTCTAGAGCTTTTTAGGGTCCATAATGTGTTTCATGTGTCCATGTTATGCAAGTACAACCTGAACCCCTCTTATGTCTTGGCCCACGAGTCTCTTTCATTTCAGGAGGATCTGTCCTACGAAAAAGTACTGGTCGGTATTGTGGACCGAAAGAGCAGATTACTCCGCAATCGGAAAATTCCCTTTATTAAGTTCCTATGGCAGAATAACACACCGAGAGAGGCCATATGAGAGCTAGAATTAGACTTCAGAGTCCAATATCTCTAGCTGTTTGATTGAGAGGCAGAAAGATAAATTTGCGGGATCAAATTTCTTTTAAGGGGGGAGAGTTGTAACAGCCAAATTTAATTATAATGTAATTTAAAATTAATTTATAAATATAATTTTTTATTTTTATTTTATTTTAGTGTAAAAATAAAGAAAATTTAATGGGGATGAAATTGAAAATAATTTTGAAAAAAAAGAGTGAAAAAATGGGTTTTAAAGATATTTTTGAAAGAAAAATCGAAAACTGATGGTCAAAATATAATTTAAAAAACTTATACCATGTAAGATGCTCGGTCAGCTGTCTCGACGAACCAGAATGCACCGTGTGGCAACGGATGCTGACGCGGTGCCACGCAGGAGGCTATGCGGGTGATCTGCGTGCCCGCAATCGAATGATTCAGATTCGTTCCCACGCGCACGGACGGCCAAACTTAAACGCGATCAACGGTCCAAATCTGCTTCTTATTTAAATGCGATCGGACGGCTCAGATTAGATCATGATGGACGGTCCAGATTTACTCTCTATTTAATCACGATCGGAAGGTCCACATCAAACGCGATGGATGGCTCAGATCAAAAGGGGACGAGTATAAATAACTCAATTGACATCAAACCCTAGCCCTAGCCGCTAGACCCCCCTCATCGGGAAAGAAGATCCAGCTGTCGGGAAGGAGGCCGCCACCACTCGCCGCCGCGACGGAGCCCTTTCCGACTGCCAAAAGATGTAAAAAAAATTTTTTTTGCTCGGAATTCAATTTTAAACACCCCCATAGCCAAATCATAGCAAAAAGACCAACAGATTGGCTGAAAATCGCGAGCAAAGCCCGGCGCCGTCGCCGCAGAAAATTTCACAAAATGCCTCCTATGAGGCCCTTTCCGATTCTCGTTCTGCATAATTTTTCCATCATTGTGATCACCGTTTCCTTCTCTACAGGTTGATAAGAGCAAAACATCTAATTGCAACGTGAGTTGGAGGAGCCGCCGCACTAGAGAGCTAGGCCACCGGTGAGTTTCAATTTTTTGTATTTTTTCGGCCAATCAAGTCCCTTTAACGTATTTTCTTGTAAGGATTGATGGAAAATTGGCTGAAAACAACTGACCTGAGGCAGACCGCCGTCGGAGCACGATGGAGCTGCCGTGTCAGAATTTCAGAATTGGCCAAAAATGGGTTCTGAGACTGATTTTGGATTTTGGGACATTTGTAGGTACTTATAACGTGTTTTAATCCCTAAAGAAAAATTCAGGGAACCTGGAGACCGCTAGTACATGCAGTCAACAGTTTAACTTTTCGGACATCAAATTGAGTAAGAATCTCTCAAACTATTCTCTGTTATGAAATTGAAATCAAATTAATAATAATACGGTATTTTGTACAATTTAAAAAATATTTATAATTAATTACAGGTTATTAATGAAGGCAGAACTGAGAATTATCTATTGTTGATTCTGTTGAATTATTTTACAGTTAATTGCAGGATAATATTTTATTGATCGATTTTATAGTTTTAATGCATGTATAGTTTGATTTATGTGATTACCATTGAATTGAAAAATAAAGACTAAAGAAAAACGAAAAATTGTGTGATTAAGTATATGGATAAAACGACAGTCTTACTAGATATCCTTAGAGATGGTGGACGGACTGGGTACAATAAAAAGCCCTACTGTGAACGTTTTCTCATACCGGACGGGGTATCAAGACTTGGTAATTTGACACTCATATCGAACAGGGTATGGGGACGACCTATTTCACCCTTATACCGGACTAGGTATTGAGGTTTAGTAATTTGACGTTCATACCGAACGGGGTATGGGGACAACCCATTAATTGAGAATGTTAAAGGAAAGGGTTCATGTGTAGCAAAAATATCCATACGAACCCCCATGGATATCAGCCGGCTGATGGAAATGGACAGTTGTTATTTGATTTATTGAATATGGATTTATAATGTGTGCATGTTACCGATTGCATATGAAATCATGATAAGTGCTATGTTATTGTCTCTATAGGTTATTTTTATAAATCTCGCTGCGGTAAGTGGACGGTAAATAGTTTTATTATTAATAAACACATTTGTTTAATTAAGTGCTACATTAGTTGTTTTAATATTCTATCAATCTTAATTTCTGTGTCGTTGAGTAATGTAATATTCTTATTGGGGTAGTATAGCTCATTTCTTATTTAACAATTTTAGATCAAGAAAAGCAGGATTCAGAACTCGATCCACAAGAGAGTTGCAAGTAGGATGCTAATTTTATTTATTTATTTGTATTTTTTTTAAAAGAGTAATTTTTATAATAATATTCGGTACTTTAAGTTATTATGTAAGGAATATAAACTTTAATCATTTATTTTGCTTATGCACTTAATTTATAATTTATTTTATTTGTATATTCCGGGGTCGTTACAATATAAATTAATTGGTTTTAACATCCTAAAGACTAACAAATTTACAAGAAATGGCTTAGAAATAGAATGATTTTTAAAGAAACAATAACAGTTCTTAACATTTTAAAATATAATAACAATTTTATTTAACATGAATAAGGAGAAAGAATTAAATAATTATTGCAAATACTTTATTTTTTTAATACACGTCAGTATCACTTGTGAAGTTTATAAAATAAATTAGTTGCTGATATTTAATTTATTAGAGTCGATTCTTAATTAATTATTATAATATGATATTAACAAAAATCAAGGGAAACAAAGATTTGGTGATTAGTCTAATAATATGATTTGATCAATTAAAAAGACTTTCAAATTTTTTTTTTGGCTCCTTGGCTTCTTCTATTTTGTTTTAGTTTCTAGGGATTATAATTAGGTTGCTTAATTTTTAATTAAAGATAATATTTTACAATCTGATAATTTATAAAAAGCAGACTCTTATTTTTTTCTTGTCCTTCATCGATATTTTCTAAATTGCTTTCTAAGATGTGATACTTCATTTGAGACTGGAAGGGGGGAAATTAAAAAAAGATTTTAATTTAAATTGAGCTGATTCATTAGGTTTAGTGGATCATACTTCATAATGAACCAATTAAAACGTGGGCGAAATCCATAGGGGATAAGGAGAGTCGCAACTAACAGGACACGACCATGTTCATGTTCTACTGACTGCACCCTATCCCCATCACAGACCCACAATGTTTTGACTAAAGGTTTTGCTTCTACTGTTTTCAATGAAACAATTATTAATTTCATGTTTAAATATTAATTAGGGAAAATTTAGTCATAAATTTGATGGGTTTAGGAAATAATGCTGCAATAAATCAAACAGGAAATTGAAAAAAGTTAGTGAAACAGTTCTTAAAGTTTGCTTTTTCTATTTAACTGAACGGATGTGGTATTTTCTTCTTTCTTTTTTTTTTTAATTAAAAAATAATAATAATAATAATAATAAGATATGGGTCCCACTTAGGATATGTTTTTATATGTATTTTTGTTTTAAAATTATTTTTTATTGTATTAAAATTTGTATCTAATGTATAAAACGTATGAATTTCTAGTTGACAAAAAAAGAAGGTACCTACTATGTTCCCTCGATAATTCATCAAAAATCGTATAATACGACACCGAATTAAAACCCAAATCCCAACTGGCCGTATTAAGAAAAAAACCCCTCCACGCGTATTAGTCGTAGCCAGCCGTACTCAACTGCTATATACGACAACCTGGTCCACTCTTCCACTCACTAATTTACCAAAATGCCCTCTTCACCCAAACAGCCGCAACCGAGAAACTTTTTACCACCCTATCTCCTCCTCCCCCTTCTCAACTTTCATGTCCCCTCCCTGCTCCTCTTCATTGATATATATTATATATATATATATATATCCTCCGACAAATCGTACCATCCCCTTTTTTCTCCATGTGGTCCCCTCCCTTTCTTTCTATATACTTCTCCCAGTCTTCACCGCTAATTTGCTTATAGCTTCTTCTCTTCCTTTCCTCCCATAGCTGTATCCATCTCTCTGCAACATCCAAAATTTAGCTGCCAACATGAAGCTCCCATCATGGATACTCACCTGCTCCAACCCTAGCGATGCCTCAACCACTCCGTTTCCCAAACATCTTCCCCACTCTTCTCCCGGTCCGGCATCATCATCTTCTTCAACTTCTTCCAGCGACACTAGTTGCAGTAGCCTCCAATCCAACCTTTCTCTCCAGACTCTTCCCTCTGTCCCTTCTCTTCAAAACATCTTCCCCGACCCAGCACAACTCTCCGTTTCTCATCTCTGCCTCACCTCTCTCCACCCTCGACCCAAGCTTCCCATCACCTGCCTAACTATCCACGCTAATTTCCTCTACGCGGCTTCCGCCCACGAAATCAACGTCTACGATCCAACCTCTTGCCATCATCTCGATGCAATCAACGCCCAAGATTCCTCCTCCGGCTCTGTAAAAGCAGTCGCTTTCTGCAACGGCAAGATTTTCACTGCTCACCAGGACTGCAAGATCCGAGTCTGGCAGATGTCTTTCGCTACGAAACGCCACAGGCTGTTAACGACTCTTCCCACTGTTAACGACCGTTTGCGCCGTTTCATACTTCCTAAGAACTACGTCCACGTCCGCCGCCACAAGAAACAGCTCTGGATCGAGCATGCAGATGCCGTCACGGCGCTAGCAGTTAATAACGGTTTGATTTACTCCGTTTCATGGGACAAAAGCTTAAAAATATGGCGGGCATCTGATCTCCGTTGTTTAGAGTCTGTTAAAGCACACGATGACGCCATAAACGCTGTCGCCGTCTCCGCTGAAGGCGTTGTTTACACTGGATCCGCTGATCGGAGAATCCGGGTATGGGCCAAGCCGTTTAGCGAGAATCGCCACGCCTTAGTAGCGAGTTTGGAGAAACATAAATCAGCAGTCAATGCGCTTGCCTTAAACGACGACGGATCGGTGCTGTTCTCCGGCGCATGTGACCGTTCGATCTTGGTTTGGGAAAGAGAAGACAGCGCTAATCACATGGCCGTGACGGGGGCACTGCGAGGTCACGATAAGGCGATATTAAGCTTGGTCAACGTCTCTGATATACTCCTGAGTGGGTCATCAGATTGTACGGTGAGGATATGGCAACGCGGAATAGAAGGGAAGTACTGTTGCTTGGCAGTTTTGGAGGGTCACCAGAGGCCAGTGAGGTCGTTGGCGGCAGTTAGAAGAGGAGAGTCAAACGGTGTGGTTTCAGTGATGAGTGGAAGTCTGGATGGTGAGATTAAGGTATGGGAGGTCTCGGTTTCGAAACCTGAGAGTCCCTTGTCAAAACATGTATTAAAATGGAGGCAATAAAGATAATAGAAAGTGGGTTTTAAGGATTTGGGATCGTTGGATATGATTTTTTGATGTTTTGCCTACCACTTGTTTATTAATTCGTTGTCTCTAGTTGATTAAAGGATTGTTTGGCACGAAATTTCGTCCAAGTCATCGGGTAGGCGAAATTGCTTTGCCATTAAACTTTTTTGTTTATTGTGTACATTTCGTATGTATTCATTCCAAATGTGGTGCATTTTAGCACCTGCATATACATGATTATGACTACAATTATAATAATTCTTTAGCTGAGTTTTAATTCATTGGGTCTTCTCTCTTTGTTTAGTCTATCTTTTGTCTTATTCAGCAGCTGGGGTGTACAACGTATAATGATAATTGGTGCTAAAAATTATAAAAGACTTAAAAGCTAATCTAAACCGATATTATTATTGTAATTAACGGCCAATTAAGTAAATGTCATATATAATATTGTTTATACGGCGAGGCAAATTGAATTATATAGTCTGTGAAGGATACAAACAGAAGAGACAAGTTGAGTGATAAAATACATTTTTTAGCAGAGCCAAACAAATTAATTAATAAGTGGGCTAAAAGCCCATACCCTAGCTTCTACAGCTTTTACCTAAATTCAATTTTCAATTTAATTAGCTAAGCTAATCATTTTAACCTACTTATAAGTACTCTAGATATATTCAGCTGTTTGTTTTTTGAAATAATCATTTAACTCTTAACCTGCCGCACTGTTTATAGATTAATTATATTTACCTGTTATAATGATAAATTATTTTCTGAAAGTGAGAGTAACGTTAATACCCTTATTTATTTACTTGTTGAATGTGTTATTTATGTACTTAATTGCCTGGAATAACAGGTTTAAGAGTTAAAACTAATATTATTATATTACATAATTAATTAATTTTCGAGGGAGAGTTTTCTGTAACGAGTAGCATATTTTGACTTGCTTTTACGAATCCACCATTGCAAGTCAAAAAGGTTATTACGTGTTTTAAAAATGTCTCCTTTTGTTAGGCATCACTTGTTAATTCTTCCTACAAAACTATACATAAAGCAACTTTTGAATATGTAAATATTCAATAAATTAACTTAATTAATTAGGAAATTAAAGTCATGATTTGCATGGGTTTGAATCTGGATAAGAAGCAAAAGAAAAGATTGTCCAACTTGATATACATATACATATATATATATATATATTCCTTTTACATTGGAAGCAAAGTAATATTCTAAAAAGTTCTGGTCCAAAAGCATCGACATTACCCCCAGTCAGATTGTACATGTATACGAAATATTATTAGTTAATTGGAAACAATATATTAGGTCAGAAGAAAACTGGGATATATTGAATATATAGAAAAGAAGTGTCAGATCTAGAACCTCATCTCTTTCTACCTTCAGATTCCTTACAAAAGCAAGTCCACCATATACATATGAAGGTATATAATATTTAAATACATTTGGAAACAGTTTATGGGTTGGGATGAGAAAATCTATACATGCAAGTTGACAAGTTGCGGATGAGATGAGCGTGTAAGAAAAAAAAAAAAAACCATGGTTAAAGCACGCTCTATTCCTCAATACTATTCGCACACCGACCAATATTAATTATCATTATTATAATACGTAATTTATATTAATTTTAAATATATAATTTTTTTTTTTAATTACCTGCAAGCCTAACAAATTAGAAATAATACTAAATTATTCACTTTTCTCATGTTTTATTTATTTTATAGAAAAATATACTTAAAATATATAAATTACATAACTAATATTAACAAAAAATGGATATAACTATAGTAAAAAAAAAAATAAAATCATAATTTATCTCTATTGTTGACATTCAGTTGTTTGTTTTTCGTGGAGGGTCGGATTCCCCCACTTCTATCCCTAAAAACAATAATAATTAAAAGATTTTTTAATAAATAAGATATTAATTATTTAAAAATAAAATAAAATGACAATTTAATAATAAAAGTTAATTTTTATAATTATATATATATATACACATAACGTGATTTTGCTACTGCTAAGGCTGAACTATCATTTTCAGTGGTTGTTGTCATTAATATATGTGATATTTCAAACATATGGTAAAGATTCATAGAAACATATGCTATATCCACAATTCTCCAATATTTGTGATTGGAAAGAAATGCAATTTTTTTTTTTTTGGCAAAACTATAGCTAAGAAAGTGAGGCTTTCATGGGTTTTTGATGAAAAATAATGCAAGATATCTAAAATATTTAATAAAATTTTATGTAAAAATTCATGTAACAGTTTATGTAAAGGTAAATTACTCATAAATTTTTAAGGTTTTGTGTTATGTTAAATTAATTAGGACCTTTTTGAATTATTACTCGGCCTAAGAAGGATTAGAATAATAGAGAAGTTTAGGAAATAATAGAAATTTCTATTTTGGAGGAATGTAAAAAATGAGTATGGCCTTACGAAGTGACGCTGAACCTTAAGATAGTCAAATAATTCATTTGATACCTTCATGAAGCCCCTATAGCTCAGTGGTAGAGCGTCAGTCTTGTAAACTGAAGGTCTGTAGTTCGATCCTGCATGGGGGCAACCCGTTTTAGGTAGAAATGTGAAATTATTTTGCCAACGGAGAGGCTAGATTAGGATTTTTCTTCCGTTAGCTCTATATTATTCCCGCTGCCATGGAGATGCGAAGAGGTTGGTTTCATTCTTAACCGAATCATTATGTTAGTAGCTGCATTGCTCTTTCGTTGTTTCTCTTTTTGATTCTCGGTTTTCATTTTCGATCAATTTGTAGCTTTGATTTGTAAGCTTATTGCTTTCAATAATTGCGTTAGTAGCCGCTCGCATTTCTCTCTCGTTGTTTCTTGTTTTGATTCTCGGTTTTCAATTTTCCATCAGTTTTTAGCCTTGATTTGTAGGCTTATTGCTTTCGATAAACATTGCATTCTTCAATGGGATTTCGAAACCACGGGGCGCGCCAACGAAAGCGTAAATCAAACATCAATCCAATGCTTATTTGCAGTTTTCCTTATAGGTACGCATTAATCTAATGTTCGTAGTTTGTTTCGAGATTTTATTGGCAAAATTTCCATGTCGACATTGTTTCGTTGTGTGTATTCAACCATTGACGTTTTTAGAGCATGATCTGCGAAAATAAAATGAAAAGAAAGAGATTTGCATCTTTCCTGAGATTTGATTTAATTTTTCCAAACAGCGCAAGACATGGAAGGAACTGGTTGGTGTAAATATGGTTGCAAGACTTTAATTAGATGGTGGGAAAATTAATTTAAATAAAATATGTATAAGCAATTCAAATAAGCATAAGAACACATATCTTTGCACTCGAGACACCAGGTACATACGTCTATTATAATTATGAGGGACATCTGTATATATATCTATATGGAACTGGGTATTAGATTATATGTATAGGCATGAATAGAACACACAGAAAATCCGAGCTTCTAGGACACGAGCATAACTGTTTACGATATAAAGCAGGAGGCAGCGATTATTCTAGAGTAGAGTCCAACGCTGAAACATAGTGCAAACTTGAAGTACTTGGAAGATGTTAATCAGTGCAGCAACGGTACATGAGGAACTTCTCCATGGGACGACGACACTCAGAGCAGACTACCCTCTCAGGAATGTGTCTTGTGGTGCCTGGCAATATAAGGCGATTGCAGTGGTGGGGGCTGTGGATCGCGTCCAAATGCTCATTCATTGCTGGCACAAAGCCATTCGGTCCTACACGATCTTTCCATAAGGTGTATTCGTTGAGACACTTCAAGAATGTGTCTCCTTTTGCTCTGGCCATCTCGTTTGATCCTTTGAAGATCACAGCCCAACCAATGTCACTGCCGTCGAAGCTGAGCATGGTCATAACCTCTTGCATGATTGGGTCGTCATCCACTTGTTTGTCTTGCTGTGTTTTGGAGTGCCACATGCTCTCAAGCCGCACCCAGAAATACCAGATTAGTGTCAGATCTGGCAATGTGTGGCTCAGCGTCTCCACCTGAATGATTGCATTGTTTTTGCGAACTCTCTCTCTTGGATTACTCTTACCCACATAAAGCATCTCTAGTCCAATCTTGGCAGCTTCAGCCACTGCTTGTGCTGTAACTGTGAATTTCCTGATCCATTCTATATCTTCTCCGCCATACAAGCAGATGTATTTCCCATCTTTCATCTGCAATTTTTGTCAAGTTAAACAAAGAATATATGGACATCAATTACCAAAAGAATGTAAATAGATGTACCCAAGTAAAGATTAATGGTTCAATATTATCTGCGAGTAACTCAAGACTCCAAGACTGTTGTTTCCAAATAGCTTCCTCTCTTGCCCTGGTGAAAGGATAGGCAAGGCCTCCCCAAATCCACATCATGTGGATTGCATTGCGATTCACTTCTCTACCTTGGGGATCCAACACCACCAGCAAAGGTTTTTTGTTGAACAGCCACTCTTCCTTGATGTACCTTATAACCGCTGGGTCAATTATTGAAGGGTGATTCACCATGTACCATGGCATCATTGACTGCAGATACTCAAAATGTTTTTGCCTCTCCTCGTTCCATGCAACTGATCTGTCCACAACGGGCACCCACACCACCTCATACTCGCTCTCTGGCCTCATGTTCTGCTTCGATTCATTGTACATCAATAGCAGAATTTGAAGCTCATCTACTGACAGCTCCAAGTCTGAAATAAATAGCAGAACAAGCTTCTTCTTCAACACGTCAATACTGACCTGTGAATTTCACAAGTAACCATCCTATGGAGTCATCTTACGGATTCACAAACTGATCATATGTAATCATGATAATCAGCTCAATGATCAACCAAACCTTTTTCCCTGAAGAGCAATTGTAAAGTGGCAGACCATCTTTTGCATAAAACAAAGCTCTAAGAATCTTCATGTTATCAATATGGGCTGTCTTGAAGAGGCGGACAAGCGTTTGGTAAGCTTCGATATGTTTTCTCTCCTCTGCATAAGAAACATATATATGTGTGTGTGTATAAGAATTTCTCATCATAAAGATTTAACTTGTGCATTTTACACTTAGTAATATTCACAGTAGGATCCATATATTTATGTCTAACATAATGGAACTCACCTATTAGTTGATGGCAAATTTTGAGTTGATCGTTAAGATGGTCATGGATGCTGCTGAGTTTGTGTGCCAAGCTTAATAGCTCCCAAGTTTCTTGAGTAGATGCTATGAATCTAGAAACATATGATATTTAATTTATGTGTTTTAACTAAAAATCGAGTGAAATAAGATGTGAGATTGATTTTAGTTATATCAGGAAGCAATTTAGAAGAAGGAATGCATACTCATAACCCATGCCAATGAGTCCAATAATTTGTGCAGCAGAGGCTATAGTGCTGCGGATTGTCCAGTAAACAGCAATAGGGATATGAGCTGTGGCTGTTGATAATTCAGGCGAATCTTGAGCAACGTACTGAGATGGAAGTTGCTTGAACTCAACAATGCACCTACTCACATCAAGCATGGCCCGGATCAATTTGGTAACAGCCTCTAACCTTGGCTTCAGAGTATCGCTGCGTTCCAAGATTGTAGGGAGATGCTTGAGAATTGCTACTCCTTTGGCCAGTGGGTTAGTTTGGTAAAGCTGAGCGTCCAGCCAGAATTCTCCATAAATGAGTGCAAATCCTGCTAAACTCAGCACTACCTTTGCGTCCCATTTGTAATTTGATAAGATGTTGAGTATTGCTATAGTTGTTGTGTGTGCGTCTGCCGCAGAGAAACATTTGGAGCCCAACTGTCAAAATTGTCAAACTTTAACATAAGCAAAATAATAAAGTGATCAAACGAAAAAGATTTAGTTCAAATATCACAACACTCTTATTGGGGAATTAATGACACAAATATGAGTCCTAACGCTGCTCCTATAACAAAATAACGAAGTGATAAAAATTATTGTGAGGATAAAAGGGATGATGGTCCAAAAACCTCGCAGTAAATTCTATAAATGGTACGGGACACAAACTCAAACATGTCATCAAACCCAGAATGGAGAGCCTTCTCATCGACTGCCTCCAACGATTTCATTTCCTACACATCCATACCAAACCATTGTTATTTATGTCTGTTGAAGAAAGCAATGCATATGAACAGAGCAATCACATGTGTGTGTGAGTGTGTGTATAGATATATATACAAGGGCAACGCCAGGTGCAGCAGGAGTAGAGCGGTGAAAAATGTCTTCAACGATTTCAAGAAGAGGTTTGACAGTGAAGTCACGGTCATCAGGAGCATTAGTGGCTTCGATTTGCTTGATCATTGCATTGTCATCTGAGGACGAGAACAAGAAACGTTCCCTTCTGCGTCCTGCCGGAGGTTGTTGAGGCACAAGCTGTGATTGTGAGGATGCCATTACTTACCTCTTGATTTCTTGGCTTTTGCTTAATTTGAATATCTTGGTCGCACCACTCTGGCCTTTATATTGTTTCATAAAATAGAATTAATATACCTTGCTTGTAACTGGGTTTAAACAGTGAAGTACAGGTGGAGGATTAGGATATATATATTTTTAGTCACATCAAATATTTATTTTTGTTTTGTTCACTTTACAGGGTTAAAGGTTTTACTCATAGATTCTTGATATATGTTTGCCTTTACTTTTGAACTTGTGTGAAACACATTGATTAATAATTATGGGTTTCAGGCCTGGATTGCCTGATTAACAACAACCATATTAATGCCATTTCTCTTCTCAAAATGTAGCTCTATCCTAGAATTTGATAACCTAATAAATTAAGGTTAATACAGATCAAACCAAGAAAAACTGAGAAGAAGCAAATGAGTTTTGAGAAGGAAGAGAGCATGATTAGGTCATTAAAGCAAATTGTTGGAAGAATTGATGTTAATTAATTATACAAGAGATGCTTAGTATTTCCTGTAATTTTATGGTTACTCTTGGCCATATAGCTGGGCTCCTGGCTTTTCCATGAGAATTAATTGAGACCCAGTAGCATATTTTCAAAAAGCCTAAGGAACTACTGCCTACCTCTTTATCCACCTTTGGCTTATAAAAGATTCCCATATAGTTGAAGTTTACTTATAATATATTGTTGTGAATCACATTTATTTCTTTCTTTACTTTTATGATCTTATGTTATAACGACGTTTCAGTTCAATTTTATCTTATAGTGTGTATCATATTTATCTTTATCATTACTTTTATTATCTCAAAGTTATAACAGTGTTTTAGTGCAATTTTTTTCTATTACTGGATTACAATACTAATCTATATAGATTATTATTTAATTATATGGTTGATATATATATATGTTTTTTATAAAACATTATAGATTTAATTCGAATTTTTTTATCTTTGTATGTCTTCATTAAGTTGCATTATAATTATCATATATATACATATATCATATAATTAATAAAAGTTACGAATTTTTATGAAAAAATAAATAAATTAATCTTAATTTATGAAATGTAGCTATAATTTTTATATTTTAAATCATAGTTACTTCCATTACCTTGAACTATGTTAATGTCAATTCTCATTTGCCACTTAGACAAGCATGAACAAAAAATATCCAAACATAAAAAATTACATGCTAAAAATCTAACAATAAGGTCAATAGGGTCTAGGGTCTTCTATCTATTTTATGATGTAATATCCCGAGTTCGAGATGACTAAATTATATTAATAATAAATTTAAAAAATTTTTAAATTTAATTTTTTGAAAATTTTGAAGAAATATGCATTTTAAATGTATTTGAAAATAATTTTCAGAAGTCATACCCAAACTAGAAATAAGAAAGAATCTATTTGAAATAAAAATTTGAAAACTGGGACAAAAGTGTAAAAACGAAAAAATGGCCATGTTGGATAGTCACGTTAGCAACATGGCCAGCTGTCGTGCGTCGCGTGGCAGACACGCAGATACGCGTTCCATGTGAGAGGCCATGCGGGTAATCCGCGTGTCAATCGATCCAACGGTCCCGATTTACTCCCGCGTGCACGAACGACCCAGATCTATTTCTCCTTCAAGCGCGATCAAATGGTCCACGTACCCTCAATCGAACGGCTTTGATTCGTTTCCTACATAAGATAGATATGACGGTGGAGATTGGGCCACACAGTCTCAAACAGACGACCTAGATCGAAAGTAGAGAGGTATTTAAACCTCTCCACTTGGGCCCCCAAAACTCTAGCCGCTAAGGAGAACCGGAGAAAAAGAAGAGGGGTGGCCGGAAAGTGAACCAGTTGTCAAAGAAGAAGACCAGCCGTTGTCATCGCTGCACTGGAGCCCGTTGCCGACATCGAAAGGTGAATTTTTTCTTATTATTAGCTTCATTTTCTGATTTTAAACCATCCCAAACTCTTATTGGCACTGAAAGACCAAAGGAGAAGTCGAAAATGGAGAGCGGAGCTCGACTGAGCCGTCGCACTCGAAACCGAAAACTCCTTCGGTGAGCCCGAATCCTCTTTCTGTTCCCTTCCATTTTTCGACCATGGTTTCCTAACGTGTTTCCAGTGCAGGGAAACTGAAGGAAAACCGCGACTGTGAGGGATGAACCGGAGCTACAGCATCGAAAACCCTAAATTGCCGGTAAGTTCTATTTTTTTCTCTTTTTTCGCCAACAGAGGCTACATAACCCCAAATTTTGTAGGATTTCGCACAGAACCGGTTGAAACTGACCTGACCAAGATGAAAAAATCACCATAGGCAATGGAGCCAACGCCGAAGCATGGCGGCGGCACCGTGCTGAAAACCTAAACCGACCTCTTGGAGAATTTTAACCCCTTTTGGCCGTTTTTCTCATATTCCCATGCTATTTGATGCATGCTTTGGTTTTTGCAAAAAAATTCAAGAAATTTAAAAATCAGGAACAACTGAGAAGTGCAGTGAAAAAGGTGGTATTCAAGACACTGACCCGGGGTAAGAATTCCTCGCCATTTCTTCCGTTACGGTTAAATTAAAGTTTAATAAATAGTAAACAGAAAATTATGAATGTTGGTGACCATTTGATTAATTAAATACAGGTTACCGATGGAGCTAGTAATCGGTCAGTGTACAATTATCTCTAGTTTATCTTTGTTGCCTATTTATTGCCATACTATTTTACTTGCTTACTGATATGTCGTGTATTTTAATTTATCGATTTTAATTACTTTTCTTATTTATTAGTTACTCAACCGTTTTCATCCTTATTTGTTAATTTGGTTTGAAATGAATGTCTTAATTACATTTTCCTAGACCATTAGGTCTTAGTTTATATCGCATATTAAATGATAGTTATATTTTTTGTAATTATGAAATGAGATTGTTGTACGTATTTAGTGACTGATGGTGATAGAGACATGTATGTATAAAGTAATGTTATTCAACTGAGGGACTTATCGGGTGTCATGAAAAATGGTGTACGAACCCAGTACATAGAGTAAACTCTACCATGGATGTTATCCTCAGTCGAACGAGGTTGAGAAGTCCCATATCGAAAGGAGTTGGGAGTTATTTTGGTTACACTTATACCAGATAAGGTATTGAGGCGGTTGTATATTTGACGCTATTATCGGACGGGGTATGATGATGGCCGGTTAAATAATAGAATGGATACTTGATCTATGTATAGTGGAAACCTTTATGGACCCCCAGCGGTACCGGTAAGCAAGTAAAAAGGTAACGTTTGGTTATTGTTGGTCTTTTAGAATCTATGATGTGAATTATTATTCTGATTGCCTCCTTCGTAAATAGTATCGGGGAACTTAAAGGTGATTTAAGAGATTAACGTTTTCAAGTTAAATGAATTTACTTAAAAAGAAAAATAAGTTCCATTGATTGTTTTATGATTTTTACAAACCTTTGATTTTTCCGTATCAGTAATAAAATGTTGATATTGTTACTGAGTTAGTGTAGTTCACCTCCTTATTATTAATCATTCCAGATCAGGACGAATAAGATTCGAATCCTAAACAACAAAAGAGTTAACAAAAGGTTGCCTCCTGTTTTTCTCAATTACACAGCGGAGGTCGACCTCATAGGTTTTCAGTTTACACTTGTCTTCTTTTTATGTATTTTTTTTCAAAGGGCATTCTCGTATCCCTATTGGGCATATCAATTAAACTATGTAAGAAATATAAACTCTAAATTCTGAATTGCTTCCACAAACTTATAAATTTCAATATTATTATTTAGTATAAATGTTTGGGTTATTATAGTTGATATCTGAGTCGCTTTCCTCTAAACCATTCCTTACACATAAAGTTAGAATAATTTAATACAACCTAAATCTCAATCCTTTGTTGTAAAACGTAGGTACAAGGACATGAGAAGAGGAAGACTCTCGCTAAATAGAGCAGCCCAGGAGGGATCGTTTCGAGAGGATGTTGATCAGCTTTTCAAGATGCTGGAGAGACTCATCTCTGCCCAGCAGACCAAGGAGGAGAGGAGGGAGCTGTCTGATCCCTATCCACCACTGCCACAGTATGAACCACCTCCACATCGAGAAGATCCAGTGCCACAATGGTACAAATCTGCTCCTCTACTGTATCATTCGACATCGTCATAATACAATTCGGTGTCCCCACTGTACAATCAGGTACCACCACAAGATCACCTGGTCCCTCCCTGACATAATCCAGTTCCCCTTCAGTAAGAGCCACCTCCACCTGTGATGGATTCATACTACATCGAGAGGTACAAAAGACTTAATCTATCTACTTTTATACGTGTATTCACTTTTGAAGAAGCTGAATACTGGTTAGTAGAGACAGAGAAGTCTTCACAAATCTTAGAGTAGTTCCCAAATAGAAGGTCATTATTGCCACTTACAAGCTCGTGGGTGAGGCAGAGTATTGGTGGCAACTGAAATAGGTCACGCTACCCACTCAAGTCACCTGAGAATGGTTCATGACAATCTTTAATGTTGAGTACCTTCTAAAACACCTCCAACATTTGAAAGAGATGAAGTTTGCACATTTAGTCTAGGGAGATTTGTTGGTATCAGAGTATGCTTGAAAATTCTTGAAATTAGGTCGATACTCTCCTAAGAGCATGACAAACGAAGGCAGAAAGACAAAAAAGTTTGAGTGGGGTCTCCGTCCTAAAATTAGATAGCAGTTATATGTGTTTGAGTTTAGCACATACTCAGCAGTTTTGGCAAAGGCACAGTTGATAGAAAGAACCTCTGCATTTTTTCTCCAACAGTGGGTAGGTCCAGGCCCCCAGTTCCACATCGCAGGCCAGCACCTACTGCAACGAATCAACAGAACAAGAGACTAAGGCCCACAACTCAAGCTCCTTCCCAGACCTAAGTGATATGACGTAACAAGATTTGTCAGTATTGTAGTAAGGATCATGGGGATTAATCTTGTTATTGCCTCAACAACACCTATCGCATATGTGAGAGTGCCCAACACTATGCAAGAGTATGCCCGTAGAATCAGAATCAGAATCAGGCCAGACCCGCAGTTCAGGGCAAAGTCTATA